AGTATGGTCTGATGACCAGTTTTTCACATTTCAATGGTAAACTTGCATGTAGTTTTAGTCTCAATTGGCATATATTTGAACCACTTACTATCCTAAAGAAGAAAATTATGGTAGCCTATGAAATGAATAGGGTGTACTGATCATTGTAAAATGGTTTCTTTACAGATTTAGTGAAATATTTGTGATGGACTACAGATGTTATGTACAAAGCTATTCACATTTCACATACATCAAACAGGCCGTTTAACCAGGGACATAAATACAAATATTCTGCACATTTTTTCTGTGATAGTCTACTTTTCTTTAGATTCAGAGTTCACAAATGGTTAATTAAATTTGATTTAAGCATAGAAACACAAATATCAGGAACATAAAAAGCTGTCAGATAGAAAGTCAGCATGGCTCTTAGGCATAAAATGGAAACTGCTTTAAAATGCTTATTTTAGCCGTATAATGGCAAAATGGGACATTTTAACAGAATTTCTGTCAAACAAAGATGTAAATCCTTTACTTTTATTGAGTTTGACAAATTGAAACCAGCAAACCATTCAGGAAAGTTGCCAAAGTACAGAATCTACATTTACGGAATTCATCTCTTAGGCCCGAGAACACAGTTATTTCGTAGTGCATTTCTTTTAGACAATAAATTCAAATTAAAAAAATCGCACCTGCTCTATCTCAAAAAGATTTTTACAGTGTAGTGTACTACTATTGATACAAATAATATCAAAATTATAGAAACTTCTACCAGCTCTAACTCAAAATATTGACAATTCTGTGTTAAGGGGGGCTAAAATTCAGTTTGACAGCTTCAGACATTCTAATTTTTGACCTTTTTTAACTGGACCAAATCACTACTTAACATAAAGATTCAGCACCCAAATTTTTTTAACATGTAATTTCATCCCCTTACTCAATATTTCATGCATAAAATATCAAGAAATAAATTGGGAAAGTGTATCAAAAAAAAATGCAAGTTATACACTGTTCACACTAGGGACTATATTTGTTAGACAACGAAAACCAAAGGACGATAACTGTGTCCTTGGACCTAATAGGATAGAAAGACTTGACCAATTTTAATAAAACTTTGCATGACCTAAGCTTAGGAAATTATAAGATAGTTTGCCAAGTTTCATGGCCATAGGATCTATATTATAGAAACTAGGGCCATTTTAATATTGAAATTTGGATGTTTATTTTTGACGTATAAATCAAATATTTTCAACTGTCAAAATTTTGGCCTAAAAAATTTAAATATTGCAAACATTTGCTTTTTAAATACTCTTGAATATAATATAATAAGTATTAAAAGCAACGGAACACTCATTTGATTTATCAGATCTATTACAGCTATTCAAAAGTCAAATTTATATGAGCCTGTGCCTGAAAATAGAGATTTTCGAATTAAGGGAAGCCTTACATAAACATGCATTTTTTTCAACCAATTTGAAGTCTTGGAAGTTTTTTAACCATACATTATTCTTTCATATATATTAAATGTACTTTAAATGTAAAGAAAAGTTACAAAAAGCATACCACATGAGTATAAAATGGTCTTAGGCCATGTAAGACTGAGAATTATTTAGAGTCGATTTAGGCCGTAGCCCATATTTACATATAAAAATGCACACAGAGGCTATAAGAAATGGAAATTTGTTACTTTTTGCTCATTTCTATGCTAAATTGTCATGATACAAGAAGTCTAATTGCAAAAGGACTCTTGAATTCAACTTTTTTTTGCAGAGAGTATGGTCTGATGACCAGTTTTTCACATTTCAATGGTAAACTTGCATGTAGTTTTAGTCTCAATTGGCATATATTTGAACCACTTACTATCCTAAAGAAGAAAATTATGGTAGCCTATGAAATGAATAGGGTGTACTGATCATTGTAAAATGGTTTCTTTACAGATTTAGTGAAATATTTGTGATGGACTACAGATGTTATGTACAAAGCTATTCACATTTCACATACATCAAACAGGCCGTTTAACCAGGGACATAAATACAAATATTCTGCACATTTTTTCTGTGATAGTCTACTTTTCTTTAGATTCAGAGTTCACAAATGGTTAATTAAATTTGATTTAAGCATAGAAACACAAATATCAGGAACATAAAAAGCTGTCAGATAGAAAGTCAGCATGGCTCTTAGGCATAAAATGGAAACTGCTTTAAAATGCTTATTTTAGCCGTATAATGGCAAAATGGGACATTTTAACAGAATTTCTGTCAAACAAAGATGTAAATCCTTTACTTTTATTGAGTTTGACAAATTGAAACCAGCAAACCATTCAGGAAAGTTGCCAAAGTACAGAATCTACATTTACGGAATTCATCTCTTAGGCCCGAGAACACAGTTATTTCGTAGTGCATTTCTTTTAGACAATAAATTCAAATTAAAAAAATCGCACCTGCTCTATCTCAAAAAGATTTTTACAGTGTAGTGTACTACTATTGATACAAATAATATCAAAATTATAGAAACTTCTACCAGCTCTAACTCAAAATATTGACAATTCTGTGTTAAGGGGGGCTAAAATTCAGTTTGACAGCTTCAGACATTCTAATTTTTGACCTTTTTTAACTGGACCAAATCACTACTTAACATAAAGATTCAGCACCCAAATTTTTTTAACATGTAATTTCATCCCCTTACTCAATATTTCATGCATAAAATATCAAGAAATAAATTGGGAAAGTGTATCAAAAAAAAATGCAAGTTATACACTGTTCACACTAGGGACTATATTTGTAGACAACGAAAACCAAAGGACGATAACTGTGTCCTTGGACCTAATAGGATAGAAAGACTTGACCAATTTTAATAAAACTTTGCATGACCTAAGCTTAGGAAATTATAAGATAGTTTGCCAAGTTTCATGGCCATAGGATCTATATTATAGAAACTAGGGCCATTTTAATATTGAAATTTGGATGTTTATTTTTGACGTATAAATCAAATATTTTCAACTGTCAAAATTTTGGCCTAAAAAATTTAAATATTGCAAACATTTGCTTTTTAAATACTCTTGAATATAATATAATAAGTATTAAAAGCAACGGAACACTCATTTGATTTATCAGATCTATTACAGCTATTCAAAAGTCAAATTTATATGAGCCTGTGCCTGAAAATAGAGATTTTCGAATTAAGGGAAGCCTTACATAAACATGCATTTTTTTCAACCAATTTGAAGTCTTGGAAGTTTTTTAACCATACATTATTCTTTCATATATATTAAATGTACTTTAAATGTAAAGAAAAGTTACAAAAAGCATACCACATGAGTATAAAATGGTCTTAGGCCATGTAAGACTGAGAATTATTTAGAGTCGATTTAGGCCGTAGCCCATATTTACATATAAAAATGCACACAGAGGCTATAAGAAATGGAAATTTGTTACTTTTTGCTCATTTCTATGCTAAATTGTCATGATACAAGAAGTCTAATTGCAAAAGGACTCTTGAATTCAACTTTTTTTTGCAGACAGTATGGTCTGATGACCAGTTTTTCACATTTCAATGGTAAACTTGCATGTAGTTTTAGTCTCAATTGGCATATATTTGAACCACTTACTATCCTAAAGAAGAAAATTATGGTAGCCTATGAAATGAATAGGGTGTACTGATCATTGTAAAATAGTTTCTTTACAGATTTAGTGAAATATTTGTGATGGACTACAGATGTTATGTATAAAGCTATTCACATTTCACATACATCAAACAGGCCGTTTAACCAGGGACATAAATACAAATATTCTGCACATTTTTTCTGTGATAGTCTACTTTTCTTTAGATTCAGAGTTCACAAATGGTTAATTAAATTTGATTTAAGCATAGAAACACAAATATCAGGAACATAAAAAGCTGTCAGATAGAAAGTCAGCATGGCTCTTAGGCATAAAATGGAAACTGCTTTAAAATGCTTATTTTAGCCGTATAATGGCAAAATGGGACATTTTAACAGAATTTCTGTCAAACAAAGATGTAAATCCTTTACTTTTATTGAGTTTGACAAATTGAAACCAGCAAACCATTCAGGAAAGTTGCCAAAGTACAGAATCTACATTTACGGAATTCATCTCTTAGGCCCAAGAACACAGTTATTTCGTAGTGCATTTCTTTTAGACAATAAATTCAAATTAAAAAAATCGCACCTGCTCTATCTCAAAAAGATTTTTACAGTGTAGTGTACTACTATTGATACAAATAATATCAAAATTATAGAAACTTCTACCAGCTCTAACTCAAAATATTGACAATTCTGTGTTAAGGGGGGCTAAAATTCAGTTTGACAGCTTCAGACATTCTAATTTTTGACCTTTTTTAACTGGACCAAATCACTACTTAACATAAAGATTCAGCACCCAAATTTTTTAACATGTAATTTCATCCCCTTACTCAATATTTCATGCATAAAATATCAAGAAATAAATTGGGAAAGTGTATCAAAAAAAAATGCAAGTTATACACTGTTCACACTAGGGACTATATTTGTAGACAACAAAAACCAAAGGACGATAACTGTGTCCTTGGACCATATATATATGCACTAGGTGTGTTTCATTAAAAACGTTTATCATGTATGGTCGTATTCAAAGTTTTCAAAGCTTTATGAAGCTAAAATGTCATAAACAGAACGTAGGTATACATATCATATACAAAAACTTTACTTTGTTATTATTGTTGATCGTATTATTGACATGGTCACGTACTCTTTGTTAAGTATGCCTGTAATTTCCTTTACCATGCTTTAAGTTTTCAAATAATAAACTTTAGTAGGTGTCAAATATTGCTTTATAGGTTATCTTAATTAGCCGTAATTAGTCCACTTTTGTCGACATAAACTGTTAAGAACAATTGATTTCAAATAACCGTATGTACACAGACTGTCAAGTCTTTTGTTTTAATAATTTACTTTATTTTAAGTAGCGTATGATTTCAAAAAGATCAGTCACAATCTAGTTTAATAATCGTCAAGAATTTGATTATAGGTTTGTCTCCCACAGTGTGACCAACTCAAGCTAGCAGTACTGTTATCCAAAGGATTATTTTGAAATCTGCAACTGTTGAATAAAACTGGGTGAGTAAATATATGTTTTATAATCCAAGATCACTTTTTATTTGTAACATTAATTTCGTTGTCCTTATGTCACAATAAACTGTTAAGAATTTTTAAAGCACAAATATGATAGCTTTCTGCTCTTTGGTCGGGTTGTTGTCTCTTTGACACATTCCCCATTTCCATTCTCAATTTTATTGTTCCTGTCAGTCTTTGTTTACTGAGTTTCGATTCATTATAGTCTGATAATGACTTATTTTAACCGTAAGCCCAGTGATAACAAGTGCATCCCATGTCGTCATATTTTCGTTTTGACATCTAAATATTTTCTTTAAACTTATTTTTCGGCTTCCAGTACATGATGTTTTGCTGTTTACTTTTAGCACTTGAACGAACACCAGACCTAACTGGATACCATTATAGTCCATGGAGTAGTTTAGTGCTCACAAAAACGGTCTACTAATATAGTGTTTCATCAACTATCAAGATAGTTCAATAGTTTTGATGCGCTCATTAAGGGATAACTATAATTTAAGTGACTATGCAAAGGGTTTATAGAAGCCTGTATCGCTCAGCTTGCATATACAACTGAACTCAATCTGAGAGTGTTCTCTTGAGGCATGCGTAAATATTAATGATTCAAGTTTGATGTAAATTAAGTTGTTTCAGATGTGAAAATCTTTCAATGAGCTATTAAAAATATCAATTGTGTTGATCATCACTGACAAATCTTATGCAGAAAACCATGAAAAGACGCATCTAGGTACTCAACTATAAGCCTGATATTGTGGATGAGTTTCAAGAACCGATGAGTCAATTCAATTGCTGGTAGGCATTTCGTCCAAGAGGTATACACCCGCCCACTTGGCTTGGCAAGACTTCTTTGTTGGCATGAAATAGCATCGATTTCCAATATTTTGATTTGAGCACAACTGATGAGTTTTATGTAAACGAAACGCGCATCTGGTGTAATGAGTTATATGCCTGATTTCTCTGATGAGTTTTTAAATAACCTATATAACTGCAAAAAGTTCATAAAGAAAAATAACTCTATGCAAAGATTTACATTTTACATTTTAAAGGTTTTGAATGTTATCATTTACTGGATAATTTTTAATGGCAATTGAAGAACATTGTTAATGAGTTGTTCAAGGTACACTTTGATAAATTGCACTAGGTAATCTTTGATGAATTGCATTAAGTTATCTTTGATCAGTTGTATTAGGTAACTTTTGATAAGCTGTACCATGTAAACTTTGATAAATTGTTCTAGGTTATCTTTGATCAGTTGTACTAGGTAACCTTTGATAAGTTGTACTAGGTAACCTTTGATAAGTTGCTCTAGATTATCTTTGATCAGTTGTATTAGGTAATCTTTGATAAGTTGCCCTAGATAATCTTTGATCAGTTATATTATGTAACCTTTGATAAGTTGTACTAAGTAACCTTTGATAAATTGCTCTATATTATCTTTGATCAGTTGTATTAGGTAACCTTTGATAAGTTGCTCTAGATTATCTTTGATCAGTTGTATTAGGCAACCTTTCACGAGTTGTACTAGGTAAAATTTGAAGAGTTGTACTAGGTAAAATTTGAAGAGTTGTACTAGGTAATCTTTGATGAGTTGTACTAGGTAATCTTTGATGAGTTGTTCTAGGTATTCTTTGACAAGTTGTACTAGGTAAAATTTGAAGAGTTGTACTAGGTAACATTTGACAAGTTGTACTAGGTAAAATTTGAAGAGTTGTACTAGGTAACTTTTGATAAATTTTTCTAGGTTATCTTTGATAAGTTGCACTCGGTAATATTTCATAAAAATGAAAACAAGTTATGAATATATGCGTCCGAAGCGTTTTTTCTGGATTTACCTTCACCAGGAACTCTCAAAGACAAATATTTATGAAAACCGAAACAGTTGAAGAGCTATATGACCAAAAAGGACCTAAAAATAGCCAAATCCGTATAAGGCCAAATTTGTCTGAGGGAGTTGAAACCGTAGTTTCTTTATAATTTCAAAATTCATAAACAAACAATTTATTTTAGGTTATCTTCGATACATTGTTCTAGATTAGCTTTGATAAGGTGTACTAGGTAATCTTTAATGAGTTTCACTAGGTAATCTTCGATAAGTTGAACAATGTTATCTTTCATAAATTGTTCAAGTAAACATTAATAAGTTGTACTAGTGTGTGATTTGGAATGTGCTGTAGTAGCACTTTTGAAAAATAGAATTTTTACACGTGCAAAACAAAGAAAGATGTAGTTTAATTTGTTGGATATATAAGATGAATTATTATTATTTATTATTATTATTATTATTATTATTATTATTATTATTATTATTTTCAGTTGTATTAAAGGTAATTGTGTATACCCAAATTTAATACAATTGATTTTCCAAGGAATATTTGGGGTTTTTTTTACGTAGCAACACGCGAAAGCAGGTCTAGTTACCGCTCAAATCAATCTATCTTCCTGGAACACTCGATTTGTACGTTGTCATTATTTATTCTTCACACAGTTATCGCACACAGAATACATATGTTTATCTTATATTTGAACAGTTGTCTTTATTAGTATTTCTTAAACCTTCCCTAGTGTGGAACATAAAACATCTAGTTTGCTCCGACAGTTTTTTTCTTCAGCATTATTCAAACTTTGAAGAGTTATCGCACACAGATTAAAAGATGCGAACATTTATTTTAAAATAGCTTTTTTAATGTTTTCACGTGTTCCACTTAGTTATTTTTATCATTGAATTATATAAAGTGTACCTAATTATAGTCGGGTACGTGTAACTGAAAAGGATTTCCTTCAACATTATTCAGACTGTGCATAGGGTCATGTATATATGCTTTTAAAAGTCAGTTTCCATACATATCCTTCTTGGAAATTAGACTGAAAAATGATACAAAATACATTTCATAACTTTGGTGCGTCCGAAGACTTTTTATGGATTTTTTATATTTTTTTTTGTGTTATACAGTGGTTTGTTGGCATTCTATTCAATCATCCGTCTGCTTAATGCAAATTCTGACTCACTGCCCATGACAAGGAATACTAATAGAATGGGATGAATTATAAAAGATATCTGGTATACCTGTTATATTTTTAAGCAAATTGTACAAATATTTCGGAACGTGTTTGTGTCCTTCAATCTTATTTGAAAAACGAGAAGTTCAAAATACACTCAAACAAAATGTTATAAACCTTGATATATAAAATTTTTTTTTTTTACGTCAAACTTCCTCTCAGGTGTCCTCTAAATCATATTTACTTGGTAAAACGTTTTTTTTTAAAACCTAACAGAATCAACAAAATATTTGCAAATATAATTTTCCTCGTTTGTTAAGAGTCGTAAACGATGAGTTAACAAATATGTCATCAATCTTTTCCTGACTTTTTAAAAACATTTATAAAACTTAAACATTTCAGATATAATTGAATCATAGCAAACTATTGACAAATTCATAATTTTATTGAAATATTCAACCTCGTATTTGTGTGTGTTTGCTTAGGTTGTTAATTTTTGTAAACCACTGTATATTAAAAGAAATAACGATACATATTCAAATATCTTTTACAAAGTTACCATTTCATATTCAACCCCTACTCCTGAAATATTTGTGAATAACGACATATATACATATATAAATATATACATCAACATAACCGATCAAACTAAACGTTCGCGAGTACATCTCAACATTATTTGTTAAGGTAGTAAAGTTTGCGTACACATCGCGTCCATAAAACTACCCATTACATACAAAAAAAGTCATGTGCTATCTTCAATCTGACGGAGTTCACCACCGAGAGTTTGAATACTTTGAGTTAAATGAAATGCACACAACTTATTACTTTCAAAGGCATGCTATCACAAAAACGAATTCAACACACAGGACGTTTTGTCTTGTCGATGCCTTCTAAAGCTGACTATATACGGTATGTGTTTTGCTAATTTTTGAATGCTGTACTGTAACCTATATGTGCTTTAATCCGCTTTATTCGGACTCTGTTGGCAAGTTGTCTCATTGGCAATAATATCACATCTCCTTATTTTATATCAGAGTTGATATCATCTGCAAAATTTAAAAATAAAAGTATGAGCCTTGACATTTTTAGGATGTTCATTGGGCATCAATGTCATTAGAAAGGAAAACTAAAACAAATCATCTATGTGGTTTTCTACATAAGGAAATGTCAGTAATATGACAGTGGTTTTTCCATTCGTTTGATGTGTTCGAGCTTTTGATTTTGCAATTTGATAAGGACTTTTCGTTTTGAATTTTCCTTGGAGTTCGGTATTTTTGTTATTTTACTTTTTTTCAAGTATCATAAAAATACCTTTTTGGGATTAAAGAATAGTTTTTCTTTATGATTAAAGAAAAATAAATATTTTCACGATTCTTTTCATTTACGAACTTGAATCTTTGCTGTCAAATAAAGGCAACAGTAGTATACCGGTGTTCAAAAGTCTTAAATCGATTGAGAGGAAGCAAATCATTGCTTCAAAATCGCTGACAAATCGTATTTTTATCTAAACGGTATAGCATTTGTCTTTTTTCTGTTGTATTTATGAACCTTAGTTTCATATTAACGGCGGTGGTGCATTGTGTTTTCATATTGACTTCATTTTATATTGTGAAATAGTTTATGTAACTCTTCGTAAACAAATTCTTAATTGTTTAAGTGAATGGTGCGTATGTAACATGTACACTACAACAAACTAATAAATACATCTATTTCTTTAAATGTTTTATATCTTATTTAGATTAGTCTACATATTAAACCATGTTATGATACAGTATAGATGAAATACTTGCAATAAACACAATAATCATCATTACTTGGATTTAGTTTTATAGTAATACAAATTCCCTTTTCGCCTAATGACAATCGGAAAAATTTGCACTAAGACAAGATGGGAATAAGACTTATAAGAAACATATTAAACAATATAATGGTATTTGAAGTCTCTTGTCTATATCTCTTGATTAAAAATCCCATTGCATGTAAAC